GGCAACAGGCCTTTCCTTGGTCCTCCTTGTTCTTGACCTCTCGGCAGCTTTCGACAGTGGACCACTCTCTCTTCCTGGAGTTCTTTCTTCCCAGCCTCCTGTGCCAGATCTTCATCCACAGCGTTAACTGTAGGTGTCCCTCCAGCCTCTGTCCGGGCCCTCTTCTCATTTCTCTCCTCTCTCCCATTGGTCACCTCCTTAGCGGCCATGCCTTCAATGACCATCTCTCTCCAGGTGACTCAGATTTCAGATTTGTATATTACTCTCTTAGCCATGGTGGAACCATATTTGTGGGTGCCTGTTGACCTTTGTTGATGGGAGGATGGCTTTGGGTTATATACATTTGGGTCAACTCTCTGCCTAGAGAGATATCAAAACTTTACACGTTATTTTTCTATGGCTTAAAAATGCTGATTGATTGATGTAAAATAACTTGAGATGTGGATTGCTAGGCTCCCTGAATCTCTACCTTTCTCATTAATTACTCAAAATGCCATATCTATCTATTATTAAGAATTTTATCTTTTTTATTTTTCATGAGGTATCCCTTTGGCCATTGGATTAGTATATAGCATTGAATCTGTAGGTATCATCCTTTTGGATGAAGATCTTGGCAATCATTTTGACCTTCCTTTATTTCTATCAACATTGCTGTAATTGTTCATAATTAGTACTTTTATATAAACCCTGAATGAGAAATGGGGAGCCAAGGCCAAGGTAGCTAGGTACCATGGAGTCTAGGTAGCATAACCTGTTCTTGTGGGAGCCAGGCCGGCCCTTTGTGATCACCACTGCCTTTCCTAGACATTGATTAACTATTCCCTTAATGATACATGTTAAAGATTTTTTTCCAGAAAATGGAGTCAAGGTCTTTGGCCTATTGTTTACAGCCTGTGTTCCCATTTTTTTCTTGAAAATCCTGAAATCTGACATTCTCCATCTCTGCTGTACAACTCCAGTCTTTCTGATCTCTCAGACATCTTTGGCACAGTATTTACATGTGCCACCTCTGGGGGATTTTTTTGTTCTTTTTAGTACCTAGGCCTGGTGACACAGACTCCTCAGATACTCTCTTTCTCTTTCCTTCATCTTGGCTATATCAGCTTCTTATCTCTGAGCCTTTTTCCTTCTTCCAGAGACAATCAAATTCACTACTCCAGGTTTGGGTGAGCATAAACCACTGGATGAATCACTCCCTGTTTGACAAGAGCTGCAGGGAAAACTAAAGAGCAGTTTCCCTGGGAGTGGGCACTGATGAGCATTTTACACCAAATACCCCTTTGAGTGCCAGTGAAGACTCTCCTTAAATATTAAAGGTCCTATCAGGAGAAGAATGAAAGGAGATGCGCCCTGGGTCCTAGAAGAATTTGCAACCCAACAAGGAATGGAGGTAATCCAAAAGGATAAAATAGATAATTTCAATTCCATAAAATTCAAAAACTTTTTCAGAATAAAAAGTCTGTATGTAAGCAGACTAAGACAAGAAACTGTCATTGAGGGAAAATCTTCACCTCATATTTGTGTGACAAAAGTCTAGTATCTAAAATGTATAGGAATTTGACTCAAATGTAGATGGCCAAAAGCCATTCTCCAATGGTCAAAAGGCATGAATGAAAAAGAAACATTTCACCTCTAAGTAGGGAAAAAATTCATAACTGAACAAGGGCAAGAGATGACCCAACAAGATAAGAGACAATTTCAATTATAACATAAAATTTTAGAACTTTTTTCACAAAGGAAACCATTGGAATCAGATTAGGACAAACACCTATAGGTAAGTTTAAAAAACTTTCTCATTAAATGTCTCTCAAAGAAGCCTGAAATCTGAGGTTAGGAATTTGGTGGTATTTGGCTTAAAACAATACACACGCCCACTTACATGAACATATTCATGCACATTCACACACATTCATATGCACACTCACACAAGCATTCACATACATTCATATCCATGTGACCCAAAGCCAATCCCAAACCAACAACAATTGCAGAACGGGAACAACCACGTTCTGAAAGTAGAAATACAGATTACCAATGACACATGAAAATGGTTTGAGTCACCAATAGCAAACAAGACAAATGCAGAGTAAAACACCTGGAGTCAGACCACGGGACTCATCGGGCCCATAATGACAACCGTGCTTGATGCTGGAGGAGCCATGAGTAAAGGGCACACTAATCCACTGTTGAGAGAATCTGGGCCTGGGTCCAGCGGTTCAGAAACAGTTTGGAATGAGGCAACAATAATCACTTGGCTTATAAATGCCCTTTGACCCAGTTCTCCCACCAGTGGGCCTATATGACAAGGAGATTGATGTCCCACACATAATAATATTCATGGGTGCACTTTTTTTAAAAATTTTCACATTATCATGTTGTAAAGAAGAATTGGAACCAATGGGAGAAAGCATAAGGAAGAAGAAACCAGAAAAAAAGACAGAGAGAGAGAGAGCAAATATTATGCTTCAATATGCATTCAGACTCCAAAGTTCTTTCTCTGGATGTGGATAGCATTTTCCATCATGAATCATTTGGAGTTCTCTTAGATCCTTGCATTGCTAAGCAGAAATATTTCTATCAAAGTTAGTCATTGCACAATGTGGCTGTTACTATGTAAAATGTTCTTCTGGTTCTGCTCATTTCACTCTGCATCAGTTCATGTCAGTCTTTCCAGGTTTTTCTGAAGTCCACCTGCACATCATTTCTTATGGAACAATAGTATTCCATTCCATTTGTATACCACAACTTATTCAGCCATTCCCCAATTGGTAGGCATCCACTCAATTTCCAATTCTTGGCCACCACAGAAAGAGCTGCTATAAATATTTTTGTACATGTGAGTCCTTTTTCCATTTTTATGATCTCTTTGAGATACAAACCTAGAAGTGGTATTCCTGAGTCAAAGGGTATGTGCAGTTTTATAATCCTTTGTGCGTAGTTCCAAATTGCTCTCCAGAATGGTTTGATCAGTTCACAACTCCACCAAGTGTTCCAATTTCCCGCATCTTCTCCAACATTTATCATTTTCCTGTTTTGTCAAGTTAGCTAATCTGATAAGTGTGACAATGCACTTAGGTGCACTTTTATGAAAGCAAAAGGTAGCAAAACTCTGGGAACAGAGTCTGTCCCCATCAGTTGGGGAACAGCTGAAAAAGTGATTTATAATTGTGGTGTGTATCATAATGTCATAAGAAGTGACAGATGTCAGGAACTCAGAGAGAAAAAGTATACTGTATGGACTGATACAGACAAAAGAGAGGAGAACCAGAGGCACATGATTCAAGAGGATACCTTAACATCAGAGTGACAAAAGTCATTCAATTTTTGGAAATTAGCCTGTTGGAAATTATTGATGTGCACAATGATAAAATGCTGATAGCTGAAATAAAGTAAGGGGATTTAGTGTTCAAAGATGGATCTGATTAATAGAAGAAATTAGAACAATTCTTCTACAATTGATTTCCATGTTTAATATGATATCAATCAGAATAATGAGGTTTTTCGTGAAGTTGGATACAATTGTAATGACATTTATATTGAGAAACAGACAAGCATTATACAGGAACACTGAAAAATGAAAAGCTGATTTATCATTCAAGTGCCTACTATGTGTTATGAGGCAGCTCGATGGCTCAGTGGATAGAATGCTGGGTCTGGCATCAGGAAGACCTGAGTTCAAATTCAGCCTCAGATTCTTACTAGCTGTGTGACCCTGAACAAGTCACTTAATCTCTGTTTGTCTAATCCACTGTAGAAAGAAATAGCAAACAACTCCAGTATTTTTTCCAAGAAAACCCCGTGTTATAGTGCACAGAGTCAAGAAGAGTCAGACATGACTGAATGACTGAACATCAGTAAGTTATTAAATGCTATGAATGTGAGGGAAAAGTGTGAATTAATTCCTGCTCTGAAGGACCTAGCATTTTATTGGGGGTTGGTGCTATACATACATACATACAAACATGCACATACATATATTCATCCATCATACATACATGCATGCATATATTTGTTGTACAGTCATTTCAGTCATGCCCAGCTCTTCATGACACCACTTGTGGTTTCTTGGCCATGACACTTGAGTGGTTTGCCATTTCCTTCTCCTGATCATTTTACAAATGAGGAAAGTGAAGCAAACAGGGTTAAGTGACTTGTCCAGAGTCACACAGCTAGTAAGTGTCTGAGGCTGAACTTGAATTCAGGTCTTTCTGACTACAGTTCTGGCTCTCTGTCCACTGTACCATCTAGGTGCCCTGCATGCATATATACATGTGTATACATATACTGAGAATAAATATAAAATAAATGCAAGATTGTGAACAACACAGTACTTAGGGACCAGGGAATCCCAGGCATGTTCAGAAAGGCCTTGTTCATTTCTTTATCCTGATATATTATTTAGAACTATATTGAATGTTCATTCCTGTTTCATAAAACACATTGATGGCTGGTAGTTGTGTCTTTATCACACACACACGCGCGCACACAAGCACCCATGCGCAAACACACACACACGGTTACTTTCACTTTTCAGAACTGGGATAATCCAATCAGCCTCCCCAATGAATACAGGAGTCCTTCCTAGGTCCTCCCTGGCTGAGGGTCCTCCAGCCTCTTTTTAGTGGTTTCCAGGTCCTGAGAGCTGTCTCTCCTGGTGAGGAGGGGCATGAGCAGGCCCACATCCTTGATCTGGCCCTGGGCAAGTCACAAAATCATCATGAGTCTCCATCTTTTTAGGAAGAACCTGGAGTTACTGTTCACTGTCCTTCCTCGCCTTCTTCCCTTCCTTACAAACTTGTGAGGACCCGCTGGTAGATTTTTATAGATTATAAATTAATATACAAATGAAGTATTACACCTTGTTCTACACTTTAATGTTGTACAGTAATTATGGAAGTAGAAGAGGTACAAAGTAGGACCAGTTGTAGGGCAGCATATGGGTAACCAGATATCTTCATTTCTATTTTCTTCCACATTGAGAGACTAGACCTGAAACCAAAATGTCCGATCCCAAACTGGGCATTTCTGTGGAGAATTCATCTAAAAACAGACTTACAAGAGATGGTTTCTCTGTCTCCAGCTTGAAAGAAGCCTTGGCCTGTGATGTAATGTCAGGGAGGCAACAGAGCATTGAGGAGAAAACTTCTCAGCAAGTAAAGGTCACCCGGAGGGAAACACCCAGTGATGGCCAAAGCATCAGTCTGGAACCAGAGCTTTTCATAAGATGGAGAGTATTTGTAGGAAAGGACCTTCTCAGATGGGATTCAGCCAGAAAGAACTTCATTCTGTCTTCAGAACCTAGAAAGTACCATAGAATTTGCTCTAAGGAGATAGATTCTAGGTGTAATGAATGTGAGGAGCCCCTCCCTTCTCCTTCAGGCTTTATTGCATGCCATAGACTTTATCCTAGAGAGAAACCTGATGATTCTAATGAAGACAGGAAAGCTGTCAGCTTCAGCCCATATATTAATTCTTATCACACAATTAATATTAGAAAGAAAACCTCTAAAGGTAATAAATTTGGGAAGGATTCCATCCAAACTATGCAACTGATTGAACACCAGAGAATCCACACTGGAGAGATTCCTTCTGAATATAATGTATGTGGGAAGTCGTTCAACCATGGTTCATCCTGTACTTCGCATCAAAGGATTCATACTGAGAAGAAGTCCTTCCTTCAGAGGTCCCAGCTTCCTCATCTCCAAAGAATTCAAAATGGAGAGAAACCTTATGAATGTAATGAATGTGGGAAGACTTTCAGCCAGAGAGGAGACCTATCTGGATTATCACAGAATTCATACTGGAGAGAAGCCTTATAGATGTAAGGAGTGTGGGAAGTCTTTCTACCTAAGCACAAACCTTGTTGGACATCAGAGGATCCATACTGGAGAGAAGACTTATGAATGTAATAAATGTGGGAAGGCCTTTCACCTAAGAGCACACCTTTCTAGACATCAAAGAATTCATATAGGAGAGAAACCTCATAAATGTGATGAATATGGAAAGGCCTTAAGCCAAAGAGGCCAGCTTACTTGACATCAGACAATTCATATTGGGGGCAAATCTTATGAGTGTAATGACTGAGGATTTCTCCTTAGGGGTCTTCTTACTAAACATCAGAGGAGTCCTACTGAGGAAAACCTTGTGAATGTAAGGAATGTGGGGAGACCTATTGCCTGAGCACAGAGCTTACCAGACATCAGAGGATTCATATTGGAGAAAAGCCTTATGAATGTAATGAATGTGAGAGGGCCTTCTGCCTGAGAGCACAGATTACTCTACATCAGAGAATTCATACTGGAGAGAAACCTCATAAATGTAATGTATGTGAGAAGACCTTCAGCCAGCGTAGACATCTAACTGTACATCAGATGATTCATGCTGGAGAACCCTCATGAGTATAATGAATGTGGGAAGGTTTTTTGACTGAGAGGCTTTCTTACTAAACATCAGTCAATTCATACTGGAGAGACATCTTGTGAATGTTATGAAGAGTAATAATAATAATAATAATAGCAGCTAATTTTCATTGAGCACTTGTTATGTGCCTAATACTGTGCTACATGCTTTACAATTATCTCTTTTGATGCTCACAATAATCCTGGGAGATAGATACTGTTATTACCTTTTTATAGATGAGAAAACTGAGTCAAACAAAGCTAAGAGACTTGCACAGGATCATATCTGAGGCTGGATTTAAACCCCGGACTTTCTGGCCCAGCATTCCATCCACTTTACCACCTAGCTGCCCCATAATGTGAGAAGGCCTTCCTCCTGAGAGGATATCTTACTCAACATCAAAATATAAGTCATCCAGTCTTTGGAGACTGACTTACTTAGGGCTCTATGGAATTTATAAAAAAGAAAACTATGAAGTAGTGTTAATTGAAAATAAGTAAGAGCTAAACACTTCAAGGGAATTTGGTGTTCATAGAACTAAACTAGTTAGGGAACTAAAAAAGACTACTTCTAAAATCAATTAAAATATTTAAAATAATTCCAATAAAGATTCCAGAGGATTTCTTAATGATATTCATATGGAGAAATAGACAAGAATTGCACAGATAACCAAAAAAAGGATGTTGATGCACCCTTCAAGTGGCAGGTGTACTCAGTGTTAAAAATACAAGTGATAAAAGCAAACGATCCTTGTTCTCAAGGATCTGATATTCCATTAGAGAAGACAATATGTACTTATTGAAGTATGTATGCAATAAATATATTCAAAATAAATGCAGAATAGGTAAATATAAGACACCTAACAGTTTCCCTTAATGGGCATCAAAAGATCCAAACTGGAGAGAAACCTTTTAACATATTTTAATGTTGAACTATCTAACAGGTGAAAAATAATTTACCTGACACTATATACATACTAGAGAAACTATATAGATTTATTTCTAAGTTATTGTTTTTGTTATTGTTATTTAATTAAGATTTTTTTTTAATCTGCCTCTCCCACTACCACCATTGGGCAAATTAGAGGAAAAAAAAACTTTAAAATAAAGCCTTTACTACAAAGCTGCATAATCCAGAAAAAACAATCTCCTCCAGTAGCCACTTCTGAGAATGTCTTACAGCATTCATTATCTCTCTGTCCAGAAGTAAACAGTGTTTTTCATGATAGATTTGGAGCACTTGTTCATTAGAACCTGTGATTTATAGTTGCATTGATCAGAGATCTAAATTTCAAGTCAAGTCAACAAGCATTTATTAAAAGCTTACAATGTGCCTGTCTGTGTGCTAAGCCTTTGGGAATACAAAAGAAGCAGGAAAATAGTCCTTACCCTCAAGGAGTTTCCATTCTAGTGGGGAGAAACAACACATAAAAGGAAGTTAAAACTAGGGAAAATGGCAAAGGAGGGCAAGTCCAGAGAATCAGGGGGAATGAAGATGTGGCTGGCCAGGGCATCCTTGCTCATCAGAGGGAGAAGCCACAGGAGTGGAGTGTCTCAGTAAATTATTATTAAATGCCTAGTATGTGCTAGACATCGTGCAAGACACAGGGGATGCAAAAAGAGGCAGAAGACAGTCCTTGTCTTCAAGCTTATATTCCAATGAGAGAGACAACATGCAAACATATATGAAGTAAGCTATATATGGGTTAAATGGGAAATAATTAACAAAGGGAAAGCAGCAGAATTGATAGGTTGTGGAAGACTTCCAGTAAAAGATGTGATTTTTGTTCAGACTTAAAGGAAGTCAGGGAGGTCAATAGTCAAATTAGAGGAAGAACATTCCAGGTATGGGGGATGCCTGGAGCCAGGGAGAGTGCCCACAGTCAAGAAATGAAGTGTGTTGTTCGTGGAGCAGCCAGGAGGATAGTGTCACTGGATGGGAATATGTGTTGGGGAGTAAGGTATAAGAAGACTGGAAAGGTAGGAGGGGGGCTGAGTTATAAAGGGTTTTGAACACCAACAGAGGATTTTGTATTTGATCCTGGCTATAAGGAGCCAATGGAATTTATTGAGTAGGGAGGTGGCATGGTTGGATCAGTGCTTAAAGGGGATCACTTTGGCAGTTAGTAGAGGATGGGCTGGAATGAGGAGAGACTTCAGGCAGGAAGACACCCTCCTTCCCCTGCTCCCTACAGCTACTGCAGTAGTTCAGGTGTGAGGTGACCACGGCCTGCACTAGGATGGGGGCAGCATCAGAGGAAAAAAAGAAGCATACTTGGGAGATGTTGCAAAGGTGAAATTGACGGGCTTTGACACCATATTGGATGGGGGTGGGGTGACAGAGAGTGAAGAGTTGAGGATTACTCCTAAATTGGGAGCCTGAGAAATTGGAAGGATGTTGTTGCCCTCTGTAGTAATAGGGAAGATAGAAGTGGGGGTATTAGGGGCAAAGATAATGAATTCCACTTTGGATATATTGAGATTAAGATATTTATTATACATCCAATTTAAGATATCTGAAAGGCAGTTGGAGATGTGAGATTGCAGGTCAACAGAGAGTTTGGTGCAGGATAGGGAGATTTGAGTAATGTGATGTGAACACATCAGCATAGAGATGGTAATTAATGGGAGCTGATAAGCTCCCCAAGTGAAGTAGTGTAGAGGGAGAAGAGAAGAGGACCTAAGACAAAACCTTGAGGGACAGTTATGGTTAGGGGGCGTGTTCTGAAGGAAGATCCCACAAAGGAGATGGAAAGAGTGATCAGAGGGGTAGGAAGAGAACCAGGAGAGAGTGGTGTCTCAAAAACCTAGAGAGAAGAGAGTATCCAGGAGGAGGGGGTAGTCAACAGTGTCCAAGGCTGCAAAGAGGTCAAGGAGAATGAGGACTGAGAAAAGGCCATTGGATTTGTGTTTGAGAGTTAATGGCACCTTCACAAAAAGAATTGAACATGTATTAGGGCATAAGACCCTTGCAAAGAAATGCAGAAAAGTAAAAATTGTGAACACATTACTTACCACAAATGCCAAATATATGTATATGTGTATGTATGTATGTATTCCCACAAAGAAACTTTGAATAAAGAATTTTAATTAATTAGAAGTTAAATAATTTAGTCTTAAAGAAGTGGCAGGTCAAAAAATAAATGATAGAAACAATTGAGAGTTGGATGTGGTCTTCCCCATTAGATTGTAAGCTCCTTGAAGACAGGAATGTCTTTTACCTTTTTTTGTATCCCTAGCACTTAGGAGAGTGTCTGGTGCTTAATAAATGCACAATGATTTATCAGTCTAAGAAAATAACAACAATGAAACAACATTCTAAAACCTTTGGCACTCAGCTAATGCATACCTTAATGGAAATATTACATCTCTAAACACATTTCATCGAGAGAAAAAGAACCAATGGGGGAGGGGAGAACTAAACACCAAATTATAATTTTGAAAAATCAAATTGGGGATCAACAAAATTGAAGAAAAAGAATTGAATAGATGAATGAAAGGACAAACTGGATTTTGGGGGGAAAATAATGAGATACCTCATCTAATTTTTTTTAAATAGAAAAGTAAAACAATGTATCAAAAAAAAGGAAAATTCACAATCATGGAAAATGAAATAAAGGAAACTATCAGAAACTATTTGGCTCAATTATATTCTGACAAACATGATAACTTAGGTGAAATGTATAAATATTTACAAAAATATGAAATACCTAGATTAACAGAAATAAATTATTTAAATAGTCCGATGTCAGAAAGGGAAATTGAACAAACCACAAATGAACTCCCAAAGGGGGAAAAATCCAAGACTATATATATATATATTTTAAGGCAATTAGGGTTAAGTGACTTGCCCAGGGTCACACAGCTAGTAAGTGTCAAGTGTTTGGCCTGAGGCTATATTTGAACTCAGGTCCTCCTGATTTCAGGGCCAGTGCTCTATTCACTGAGCCACCTAGTTGCTCCGGGATGATATGTATTTATAGATGTATTTACATTTGTTCTATAGAACACCAATAGAACAGTTAATTCCAACATTATGTAAGAGAGCTATAGACAAAGAAAGCGCTCCAGGAAGAAGAGACAGTCTGTGCAAATGCATAGAGTCTGGAATTTGGTGAGAGAGATTCATTGAGGGAGGCAGATCAATAGTGCTTCAAGGCATTTATTTCGTCAAGGTCCAACCTAAATCAAATTCTGAAGTGGTAAAGTTGTATCCTCTATAGTTTTAGAATATCCCCACACCTTTATACTGTATATGCTCTTATACTGGTTGGGCTTATTGCCTTCTAGCATCATCGCATCCTGAGAGAAAGGAACCCTTGGAGGATACATACCTGTAGAGTTCTCTATAAGCCTTCTCTAGTTTAAGAGAAAGGGAAGGAGCAGGGCACAACTAGTAGCTATTGTGGGAGGTGTGAAGTATCTTTTGCTAAAAGAGCATTCATAACACTTTCTCAGTGCCCTGCAGATTGTGGCTGTGTCCTAAAAAGAGTTTGATACTTCGTATTTATTTTTCCAGTGTTAAGCACAGTGCCTAACATGTAGTAAGAGCTTAATAAATGCTAAATAAAACTCTTATGCTTTGCCCTTCCCAATGATTCTGAACATCTAGCTAACGTTTTACAACCCTTCCAAGCCCAATTGCCCAGTTTTTGACTCCCATCCGTCTCAACCCTATCCCCATAATACATGTTATCCTCTTCCATTGTGCCCTTTGGAATTTCTGCTCCATAGTTAAGCTTCTTTTCATCTAAAACTTCTTTTCTTGCTCCTTCCATTTTCTATCCCTCACTGAGACCTGGCTTCCTCTTGATTGCACTGTTTCTATCACCAATCTCTCTTACTGGCTATACCTCACTCATTCCCCCCACGTACTCCTCACTCCCCATTGTCACTTCCAGACTTTTCCTCTACCAACCAAAATAACTCAGCTACCTCTCTTTCACTGAGGTTCATGCTATCCAGATTTATCACGCGATCCATAACTTCCTTTCTCAGTCCAGGGCCTGGCTCACAGTCTTTCCTCCCCAGCTCTTTCCCTCATACTAAAGGCTACAACATCCATATTGATGACCAACTTCCTGGTGCCTTAACACCTCAGCTTCCTAGTTCCTTAACCTATGTAAACTTCCTGAGCCACTCTTCCACTCCTACCCCAATCTCTATACAGCAACAGTCACTCCCTTTATCTTGCCACGACCCACATCTGTTCCACTTGGGTGTTCATGAACTCCAAGATTCCTTTGGTCATAATTCTTAATCATTTTATTTTTCTCAGACAGCAGGAAGTAGGTCCATTGGGTGACCAGGCCAGGGGTCCTGGCCACCTATACTCATCACATATGTTCCTTTCTGCCTAGTCCAGGGGTGGAGAACCTTCGGCCTCAAGGAAACGTGTAGCCTTCAGGGTCTTTGGGTGCATCCTTTTGACTGAGGCCTAGTTGTACAGAACAAATCCATTTAATGAAAGGATTTGTTCTGTGAAGTCTGGGTTCAGTCAAAGGGCTTACCTGTCTACTTCTCCAAGGCAGGAATGATTTTCTTTCCTTTTCAGATACCCATTTGGAAATACGCAGTTAGGTGGCGCAGTGGATAGAGTGCTAGGCTTGGAGTCAGGAAGACCTGAGTTCAAATCCAACCTCAGGCACTTAGTAGCTTTGTGACCCTGGGCAAGTCACTTAACCCTGTTTGCCTCAGTTCCTTATCTGTAAAATGAACTGGGGAAGGAAATGGCAAACCATTCTAGTATCCTTGCCAGGAAAACTCCATACGGGGTCACAAGGAGTCACACACACACCTGAAAAATGACTCAAAAGGTACAGAAGGCATTGCATTTCAATCTGGGTTTCTCAAAAATCAAATTTTTATTTTTTCATGTGAATTTTCTTTTATGGTTGTCCCACTGTGTTTCAGAGTCACCCAAGTACTGTGCTTGTGATTGCTAAGGATTCTTAATTCGTTCAGCAATGGATTGAGGGCTAAGTTGCTTTTTGGGTATATGGAATAGTCAAATAACCAATCAATCAATCAACCAACAGTATCCTAGGGTCCAAGGAAGTTGTGGGTTTGAAGCAGAGGTAAGTAGGGAATGGACATAGTGATGCAGGGTGGGGAGAGGGTATTGCACCAGCAAATGACCCTTATTACATACAGCATGTTACATTGGGTGCAGGGGCAATTATATTCTTAGTACATTTCTAACTAACAATATGAACCTAGCTGATATATAAGTAATATAATCATCAACACATAGTCATAACTCTTCTAATACAACGACTTAAATTTAATCCTATTCTGTTTAATTCACAGATAACCCATCAAATAATTATAAACTACACACTGATTAGCTTGAGTAGGGGGTATGGAAATGACAGGTCCCTGGCTACCGATCTTGGGTGATTCCTACCCATGCTGGGGCATTAAGCACCCACTATGTGCCTGCCCCTGCCCTGCTAGCAGCAAAACCAACCCCTCCAGGGATTCAGATCCCAACCTGTCTCCCCCCAGGGGCTCTGTTCCATGCCAGCAGGGTCCCCCCACTGTGCTTGGCCCTCAATGACAAAAGAGAGCACTGCCCTCACAAGGCTGCTCCCCTATGCACACACCATCGAGGGAGGGGGCAGCTCTTGTGCACAGTTAGTGGCTCCTGGTAGGTGCCAGCGCCAGGCACCCAGTAGGTACTCAGCAAATGCGCTTTGACTGACTCTGCTGCCTATGAACATCCCCTGGGGACGGACTGACCCTCCCTGACCCCCGCCTCTGGCTGGCACGTGGACACATGGAGTCAGGGGATTGGGGAGCAGCCCCTAGGAGGTCACCAATCACTCTCGGGAGAAGAGATGGCGAAATCACCTAGCAAAAAGAATAGGGTGGGGGAGTGGAAGGCGCAAGCGCAAAGCGACGGGCCAACGACTGTCGCACCTGCGCACTCCCGGGCGGGCCGCAGAGCCCTGTTTCCCAGAAGGCTGAGCGCCCCCAGGCCTCCTTTGCACCCAGCCAGAGCGGTTGTCGTGGAAACGGCCAGGCTGGGCGGGACATGGGAGCGTGCCGTCTGACGCAACTTCCGCTTTGTGCTTAATCCTGGGTCGCAGTCCTCCAGGGGAGAGGCCGGTCCGGCCGCGGTCAGTTCCGAGGGAAGACGGGGGTCATTGTGGCCAGAGGGGTCACGGTGTGTCCCCCATCCCTCTACCAGACGCCCCCTTTCTCCTTCTGCACCCCCTGACCTTCGGCCTTCTCCCGGCCCCCCACCTCAGCCCTGATCCCGGTTATCCCCTCCCTCTTCTTCCCCTCCCCCACCTCTGCCCTCCTCCCAGTTACTCCCACTCTCCCCTCCCTCCTGCCTCCCTTCCCCTCCCCCACAGCTTTCTCATTCTCCACCATCTCTGCTCCCAAGGGTGTCCATCCCTCTTATTCAGGAGTCACTTGCCCTCTTGCCTGCCCTGGGCTCCAGGGAGGGATTGGAGCAGAGAATAGACTGGAGAGGATCAGGAGAAGATGAGGGAACTCCCCGGGGAGCAGATGGACTCTGCCAGTGCAGATCGTGTTCTGAGTGGAAGAGCAGCTCGTACCCAGGCCTTCTTGGCTCTCAGGCTGGCCTCCACCCTTGCCCGCCGCCCCCAGCTTCTCAGGATCCCTCTGAGAGCCCCGCCCCTCCTGCTCCCCATTGCCACCTCTTGTCCTTTGGAGGCCAGCTCCTGCTCATGTCCAGCCTCCGTGCATTTGCACGGCTTGTCCCCCTTTCTCCATCCCTGCCTTTGCAAGCCCTTGGCAGTCTTGGGTGGCTTTTGCCACTTCCGCTTATGATCTGGCCTTCATTACCTCTGTACCTGAGAGTGTCAACAGTTGATGTTTCTGGTGCCAAAGCACTTAGTTCTTTCTAGAGGAGCTTTGTGAGAGTACGTTGAGGGTGTGGGAGATGACGACAAGGGGTGGAAGGAACTTGGCTCACACTGACTGATTCATCAATGAATTCATCTGTCTGGCTGATTTCTTTTTGTCCTGTTTATTTATAAACAAATCCCTGTTTTAGAGGATGGCACCCTGGCAGAGGGTAGCTGGAGGGATCCAGGGAGAAGTCTAGTTACTAAAATACCTAAGACTAGCAAAATCCTATTTTTAAAAAAAAAATAGTTGGAGTTATGTGCTCCTTACCCCCATTTTCTGGGAGAAAGCAGAGCTCAGAGAGGATTCCATGACCTGCCCATGATCTTGCCTCTGGGGAGAGATGGGATTGTGTCCCAGGTGACAGGGTGGCTATCGGGCCAAGGGTCCTGCCTCTCCCCTAAATGTTGGATTTCCCAACTCAGCTCCTGGAGACTAGAGACTGGTGCTTTTTGTCTGTATGGCCTGCAAGGGTCACTGTTCCTTATGTTCAGGTGGGAATGAATGGAAGGGGACACCCTAGGGTTGGAGTCTCTAGCCTCTCCCCCCTTTCCTCTCTCAGCAGGCCCAGCCCTGCTCATGGTTTGCTTCTGCCCAGCTTCCCCATGAGGAATGGGGTAGGGGCTTCTCTAGCCCGTCCCTCTCCCCCAGAGAGCCAGCCCCACTCGTGTCTTGTTTGTCTTCCCAGTTCTGCCTCACCAATTGTGCCTAGCTTCATCATGAGGAATAGGAAAGGGGGCTCCTTAGAGGTGGGGTCTTTTCCCCCTTCCAGCCCCAGCAAGACCAGCCCTGCTCATGACTTGCTTTTCCTCCCCAGCCCTGCCTGCCCAACTCTCCCATTAGGTACAGGGAAGGGCTCAAGGGGAAGGGGCAGCTAATCCCCCCACCCACCCTCAGCAGGACCAGCCCTGCTCATGGCTTGCTTCTCCTCCCCAGCCCTGCCTATCCAGCTTTCCCATGAGGAGTGAGCTCTCTGGATTCAGGAATGGCCCCTGTGTTCCTGACAGCAAGGGTCTGCCAGGTGAGTGGCCCCAGACCTGGGGGGAGCACATCTTCCACATAGCTCTGAGTCTTACATGCAGAGCTGGCCAGAACCTTTGTTCATTCACCTTGGCCAGTCCCCTCACCCAACAGAAGAAGAAGCCGAGGCCCCAAGCGGGAACACCACCTGCCCATTCGAATGCAGATCCATTGACCCCAGCTGCATCTCTGACAGCCCCAGTCCACAGGACCTCCCTCCCCATCTGAGGAATGATTTAGTGATCACCTCTCCCTGGCCTTGAGTCCCTTCCCTTTTGTACCCAGGGATCACTCCAGCCCTTGTTGAAGACTTTGGGGTTCCTACAGGTTCCCTACTAAGCTTTGTGCTGGGAGGGAGGCAGAAGCAGTCTTCCATGAAGAATAGCAAATCTTCCCCTTCTACCTCTGGAGCTCTTCATAACTTGTTGGGGTACAAGCAAGGCCATCCCCATTCTACAGAAAGTCAAACTGAGGTTCCAAGGGAGGAGATTTGCCCAGGATCCTAGCATCAGCAGGAATTCAGGAAGGAAAGCCCTCTTGGTTAAAGGTTGGACCAAATCTAGTGCTATGGAATGCAGTTGGCATCAATGTAAAGTCTTATCCTGGGGTCAGGGAGGCTTGTGGATGGTCTCCAAGGTCAGTGTAAGTTGGCCAGCCTAGAACTGTGGCAGCCAATACAGCTGCTGTGGCCTTGGGCGTTGGCTGGGAGGGGCCAAGGGTGGAAGGGACAGTCTGCTCTCCCCTCCCTGTGTCAATATATTTTGGAGATCCCTGTTTCCCAGAGCTGAGGCCCAGCAAGCAGACTGTGCCCTGAGCTTGGCATAACAATAGTCTTTTGCACTGTGGATGATTTCACCACCTGGCAAAGTATATTACTTGGACCAGCACCAGGTGTTCACTCCCGTTATTTCCCAGGGACCTGAGAGCCGACATCCATCATGTCTCTGACATGTTCACAATCCTGTTCCCATCACAGAACTCAGGTTCTGTACCCCACAGACAGATCACAGCCCTCAACCCTTGAGACAGTCAATCTAAGAATGGTCCCCCTGGGACTCAGGAACACCACACATGAGCCTGCCTTGGGAACAGACCTACAAATGATTATATCATGGTCATATAAACTCTGCCCTTCTGCCTGCAGGATAAGCCTTCCTTCTTAGGAGGGGGGCCTTCTGTCTGCAAGCATTGTTTTCCTCACTCTCATTAAACTTCTCTTTGTGTCCTGACTCTTCAGCCTCTGGCCTGCTGTGTTTCAGCTCTGGCCATTGCCGGGTTCAAGTCTGATTCCAGTCCAGTTGACACCTGTGCTCAGCCCACATTGTGGGGGGGGGGGGGACAGGCCTGCCTTCCATCCTGGGAGTCATCTTCGGGGAAGGCTGTTAATAAGTTATGATGTGCCTGCTTCCACCAGGAGGGCCTCCTGCCCATGGCCGGGTCACAATGGATGCCACCTCCAGGGAAATCCTGTCCTCCCGTGATTTGTAATGTCAGGAGAGGCCTGGGAGAAGGTGTGTCCCTTTGAAGAGGGCAAAGTGCATGAGGAATTCTCTGGGGCTGCTTGGGGGCCTCCAGCCTAGGCCATTGCAGGGCCCACAATGGCTCCAACCCTCTCCTTTTCCAGAGTTGAAGCTGAAGCCCGGGAGGGGAGGGGATTTGTTTGAGGTCACAGTCAGGAGCAGAGCTGAGGTTTGAACACAGGTCCTCTACCTGTAATGCAGCCTGCTTCCTGCCACTCCAGGCTGTTTCCTGCATGGGAGCAGTTCCTTTATTAGATGAGTCAGAGGCTGTTACAAACCGAAGCACTGATAGAAATTTGGATGGATCTCAGGGAAGCCAGAACCCCAATAGCTACACCCCCTCTCCCCAGTGTCTAGGCCCTTTACTCCCAGGTCCATCTGAGGGCTGGTCCCTGGACAAGCACAAACAAAGGTATTTGGTGTTTCAGGAGCCAGTGACCTTCCAAGATGTGGTGGTGGTCTTCACAAGGGAGCAGTGGGCTTACCTGGACCCTTCCCAGAAGGAGCTGTACCGCGATGTGATGCTGGAGACCTACCGGAATCTGCTCTGCCTGGGTGAGCATGGCTTCCCCTGGGACCCAGGGCTCTGTCTCCCCCTCCCAACACCCAGAGGGTCCTTGGGTCCTTCCTTGGGAAAAGGCTTAGAGGGGACTGTTTGGCCTTCAGAGACTAGGGAGTCCTCATCTTGGGCCAAGAGGCTCATTCCCTCATTCATGAAGCATGTGTTAGGCGCCTCTTGTGTTCCAGGCCCAGTGCTAGGTGCTGGGGACCCAGAGACAAAATGGTCCCTGCCCCCCCAGGAGCTTACATTCCATTTGAGTGGAATGACATGAATGCCATTCAGTAAATGCCCCTAGTTTTTCTGGGATGGGCATTAGGTAAAGGCCCTAGTCCCTTTCAGGAGATCAAGTTAGCACTCATGTAACGGGGCACTTTGTGTAAGACTTAACGAAAGCTGGGAATTCTACCAGGGTTCGGGGTTTGGGTTGGGTTTTTTTCCTTTTGAATCTCTGCTTCCCCTGGTCCTCAGTTTCATCTCCTCTGGGGTGATTCTCGGGGAATGAGTCTTGGTTGGAACCTTCCACAGCTGTGTCTTTACCCCAGGGCTCCCACTTCCTTTGAGCAGGACTCGCCATGTCTAAGCCCCAGGTGATACGCCAGCTGGAGCGAAGGGAGGCTCCTTGGATACCAGAGAGGAGAATCCCAGAGAGCAGCTGTCCAGGTGAGTGAGTGACTGACCCCCAGGGCAGGGAGTGCTTGGCAACAGTGTCTTCACTGGTCAGTCAGTGCAACCCCTTCCAGAGTTGGACAGGAGCCTCTGCTCAGAGCTGCCCAGGCCTCAGAGGAAAAGCCCCCACTGTGTGTCAGCCAAAGGAAGGCCGTTCCCTGCCACCTCAGCAAGTCAGTCTCCTGACAACTGCCAGTCTTAGAGAAGGCTCTTGGCATCCCAGATGTAGAGCTGGCAGGGTCCTCAGAGGCCACCTGTTCTGACCCCTTCATGTTACAGATGAAGAAACTGAGGCCCAGAGAGTGTAGTGACTTGGCCAAGGTCACCCAGGCAGCCAGAGGCAGGGCCAGCATATAAACCCGTGTCATGGCCACCAACCCCAAAGCCAAGTCAGGATGCATCCCATATCTGTACTTTCTTTCTGTGATACAACCTCTTCAGCACCACAGAGGTCAATAACTACATTTGGCTTTGAGCACTCTTAGGAACCTGATTCTGTCCCACTTTTCCATCTTCTTACCGTTCATCCCATTTCACATTTTCTATGGTCCAGTGTCCCTGGCCTGGCTGCTGTTCCTTGGACAGGACATGGCGCTTCCTGCCCTTACACTCAGGGACTTCCACGTCCATGTTGATGCTTCCTCGAGTACCTCCAGCTCCTGTGCCTTCCTTTCTCTCCCCCCTCTGCTCCATCCTTGGTCTTCCCCATCTTCTCCATCAATGTATCACATTCATGCTGGATCAGAACAAGATCTGACTCTCACCCTAGCTCTCACCCTCTCTGGAGTAATCCCAACCACCCATTGGTTGTTGCTCTGTTGTCTTCTCCCCTTCTCAGCTCAGGGCCTTGAAACATCCATCTACACTGAGTGCTTGACTTCTTCTAGGCTTCTTCTCTGTCAAACCCTCTGCACTTTGGCTTCTGACTTCATCACTCAACTGAACAGGTCTTTCTCTAATTGCCCATGATTTTTAAATTTCCCAGTCTGATGGTGTTTCTCAAAGTCTCTCTTCTTGAGCTGTCTTCAGCATTGGACAAAAAGAAATAATGCCAACCTACAAACCTTCATTGAAAAAGAAAAAGTTACCTCATTAAACCTTTGGGGTTAGACAATAAGTTAGGACAGCAAATCTTTAAGTGACAAAAGATACTAAGAGCCCATAACTTTCCAGTGTTCTTTCAGCCTCCTGCCTCCTGGCTGTTCTTTGAACAAGCCCCTCCTCCCAACTCTGGGAATTTTCTCTGGCTGTCCCCCTTGCCTGGAATGTTCTCCCTCCTCATCTGCATCTGCACCCCCTGGCTTCCTTCAGGTCCCAGCTAAAAGGCCACCTACTCCAGGAAACCTTTCCCAACCACTCTTCTGTCTTCCTTCTGAGATTATCTCCAGTTTGCCCTGTCCATCTCTTGTTTGTACAGAGTTGTTTGCATGTTGACTGTGAGACCCTTGAGGACAGGGACTGTCTTTTACCTTTTTTTGTATCCATGGCACTTAGCACAATGGATGGTGCACAGTAGGTGCTTAATAAATGCTTCTTATTGACATATCCAAACCTACAAGATGGTGACAGAGCACTTCTCAGAGGCAAATATCATGGAGTGTCTGCATAAGACAAATAAAGGTGATTAGGTGACTTCACATCAGAAATCAAAAGGTCAAATTACTTAGAGATAACATGATGCTTTATCTAAAATTTAGCTTTTCTCAACTGAAAATTTTTCACAAAGACCATAGTTTAAATCATTAGGGTCACCTAATTCAAAGTTACAATCATTATTATTATTTACTAAAATCAAGGTCAGTAAAACATTAAACAGCTAGAACCCCTTTGGGGTAGTAAAAATAATTTCATTTTTAGAACTCAACTGCTTAAGAAGCCACAGAATCCATATACAGGCAATTATAAAATGATTATACATGGAGTAAAATGAAATAATTGGTGGAAATTAAATATTCAGGAATGCATCAGATGAATATAGTAAAAAGAAGGGAAAAAGTGTTTATTAATAGCTATGAGAGTTAGGTGCTTTTATTATCCCTATTTCAGAATTGAAGAAACTGAGGCAAACAGATGTTAAGAGACTAGCCCATGGTTGCACAATAAGTTTCTGAGACCAAATTTGAATTTAGATCTTCCTGACTTTAGATTAGAACTCTATCCATCTGCTACCTAGTTGCTTCCTAAAAAGATAATACTTCTCAAAATAATTTACATATCTAATACCACGCCAAACAAAACCAGATTTCTTCTTTGGATTTTATGCATTTATAATGGAACTAATATGGAAAATCCCATAGACAAGCATTGCATAGGAACCCTGAAGACAGTGCTAATGTGTCACTGCTATTGGTGATTTGTATGTAAACACCAAAAGTGAAACCATCTCTGATCTTAGGAGAAAGAGAGAGAGAGAGAGAGAGAGAGAGAGAGAGAGAGAGAGAGAGAGAGAGAGAGAGAAAGAGAGAGAGAGAGAGATAGAGAGAGAGAGAGAGAATCTGTTTACATATGTAAGTGTTGTTCCCCTGCCTTCCCAAGAGAAAGTCTGACCCTCGAGGGCAAGGATGGTTTCTTTTTTTGTCACTTTCTCCCAGCACTAAGTCCAGGGTCTAGTACTTCATGAGGCTAGGATACAAAATAAATCTTGGGCAGGTAAAGAGGCAGGGTCCTCGGTGCTGATTGGTCAGAATTCCTCATCACACCCACAGTGAAGCCTCACCTTAACTCATCACCTTCATCTTCATCCAGGCTCTGTAATATTCAGATCTAAATTAGACTTTGATCCATGTCTCCAGGAACACATACTGATAGCCTGTCATTTTGCCTTTGAAGGTCATGTACTGAGGTCCTTAGGATTTAGATAAATGGAAAAGAAAGACAGTGAGCCCTATTGTAAGACTTAGAGTCAGAATCTGAGGTATGCAGTGATGCTAGAGGCCAGTCCAATCACTACGCCTCCACTTCTGCCCCAGCCACATTTAAAGGCAGGTGTCCTTCCTTAGGTCCTCCTGATTGATGGTCATTTAGCCTCTGCCTAAGGACTTCCAGATACCATGAGCTGACTCCACTATGAGGAAGCAGCAGAAAGACTGTGAGGATAGTGAGGAGGACACCCATCTGTTACTGATGACCTGTGGGCCCAGATCCAATCACTCCACTCTTTGGAATCTCAGCTTCCTTTTAGGAGCCTTAATACCTGTCCTTCCTCACAAGGTTGTTGGGAAGATCAGTGTGAAAGCTTTTTGTAGACCATAAGTAAGGTGTGTCTCAACAAGGTATTGTCATTGTTTTTTCTCCTAAAGTTTGATGAAATTATTATTTTAAGAAGAGAAGCAGAACTGGGGAAAGCGTATAGCAGTTGTCACAAAGGGACATTTCCATTTTCTTTATTTTTTTCAGATTTAGAGACTAAGCCTGAAAGCAAGGAGTCAACTGCAAAACTGGGCTTTTTGATGGAACAGTTAGGACTGAACAGATGTACAGGGGATGTTCTCTGTCTCTCCAATTTAAAGAAAGACTGGGAAAGTGATGCCAGATTAGGGAGGCAGCAGAGCACTGAGTTGAAAAATTCTCAGCAAGTAAAAATCATCCAAACAAAATCTCTAATTGAAGTGAGAGGTCATGAATGTGCTAAATACAGTCAGAGTGTGAGGCTGAAACCAAAACTTTTTCTACAATGTGGAGTATCTCCAGGAAAGAACCTCCATAAATGTGCTACACACAGAAAGAACTTCCTTCCACCTTCAGACTCAAATAAATATAATAGTGTCTGCTCAAAGAAGATATTTTCTCAGTATAATGAATGTGGGAAATCCTTCACTTCTCAGTCAGACTTTATTGATTACCTTAGATTATATCCTAGAGAGAAAATGATTCAGTATAAGGAATGTGGGAAAGACATAAACCTCAACCTATTTATTAATTGCCATCAGGCAACAGATATTGAAGGAAAAGACGCTAAATGCAGCAGCTTTGTAGGGGCTTCTCCAGAGAGTATACAATTTATTCAACATCAGAGAATCCATACTGAAGATAAACCTTATGAGTATGATGAATTTAGGAAGCCTTTCAATCACAGCTCATCCCTTACTTCCCATGAGAGGATTTCCACTGAGAAGAAACCTTATGGATGCAATGACTGTGGGAAGCTAATTCATCAGAGAATTTGTATTGGAGAGGTACCCTACAAATGTAATGAATGTGAAAAAGCCTTCCCCCAGAGCTCAGAAATCACCCATCTTCAGAGAATTAATAGTGGAGAGAAACCTTACAAATGTAATTGTTGTTGGAAGGTCTCTCACCAGAGAGGGCAACTTACTGAACATGAGAGAACCCACATTGGAGAGAAACCTTATAAATGTGATCAGTGTAAGAAAACCTTTCACCGGAGCACATACCTTTACCGGCATGAAAGGATTCATACTGGTGAGAAACCTTTTGAATGTAATCACTGTGGGAAGACCTTTTCCGCAAGACGATCACTCACTCAACATCAGAGGATTCATACTGGAGAGAAACCTTATAAATGTGATCGATGTGAGAAGACCTTCCACCAGAGTGCACATCTTTCCCAACATCAGAGAATTCATACTGGAGAGAAACCTTACAAATGTAATTATTGTTGGAAGGTCTTTCGCCAGAGAGGGCAACTTACTGAACATAAGAGAACCCACACTGGAGAGAAACCATATAAATGTGACCAATGTGAGAAAACCTTCTACCGGAGCACACACCTTTCCCAGCATCAAAGAATTCATACTGGTGAGAAACCTTTTGAATGTAATCACTGTGGGAAGACCTTTTCCGCAAGGCAATCACTTACTCAGCATCAGAGAATTCATACTGGAGAGAAACCTTATAAATGTGATCAGTGTGAGAAGACCTTCTACCAGAGCACACATCTTTCCCAACATCAGAGAATTCATACTGGAGAGAAACCTTACAAATGTAATCATTGTTGGAAGGCCTATCGCCAGAGAGGGCAACTTACTGAACATGAGAGAACCCATACTGGAGAGAAACCTTATAAATGTGATGAGTGTGAGAAGACCTTCCATCGGAGCACACACCTTTCCCAGCATCAAAGAATTCATACTGGTGAGAAACCTTTCGAGTGTAATCGCTGTGGGAAGACCTTTTCCACAAGGCAGTCATTTACTCAGCATCAGAGGATTCATACTGGAGAGAAACTTTATGAATGTAATGAATGCAGAAAGGCCTTCCATGTGAAGAAAGAGCTTACCCAACATCAGAGAATTCATAATAGAGAGAAGCCTTATGAATGTTATCACTGTAAGAAGGCCTTCTGCTTGAGTGTGCAGCTTACCCAGCATCAAAGAATTCATACTGGAGATAAACCTTTTTTATTGCAATCACTGTGGGAAGACCTTCCAGCTAAGCACACACTTCATCCTACACCAGATAACTCATACTGGAGAGAGACCTTACAAATGTAATCATTGTTGGGAGGTCTTTTGCCATAGAGGGCAACTTAACTGAGCATGAGAGAACCCATACTGGAGAAAAACCTTATAAGTGTGAGAAGCCCTTCAATCAGAGCACACACTTTTCCCAGCATCAGAGAATTCATACTGGTTCAAAACTTTTTGAGTGTAATCAATGTAGGAAGGCCTTCTTTCGGAGAACACATTTTACCTGACAAGAGAATTCATACTGGAGAAAAAATTTATAAATGTGATCAATGTGGGAAGATTTTTGGCCAGAAAGGCAATCTTAGTCAATGTGAAAATTCATATTGGAGAGAAATCTTTTGAATGTAGTCAATATGGGAAGTCCTTCCCCATTGACAGAATTCTTATCTGACATCAGATAATTCATACTGAAGAGAAATCTTATAAATGTCATGAATGTGGGAAGCCATTAGCCAAAGTCACCATCTTATTAAGCATAAGAGAGTTCATATTAGTGATCTCATCAATATAATCAGTGTAGGAAGGCCATTAAAGAGAACATGTAACTTACTCAGCAACAGAACCTTTATACTAGAGATAAACCTTGTGAGAGAAATTAATGTTGAAAGATTTTTTTGTGTGAGAAAACCATTCAACATCAGACAGTTCACACTGGAAACTTTATGAATGTGAAAAGGTTTCTCATGTGAAGAAATGACTCATCTGACATGATAATCTTCATAGCAGAGAAAAATTTTATAAATATATTCTGTGCGGAGTGACCTTCAGCCTGAGCATACAGATGACCCTGCAACAGAGAGTTCATACTGGAGAGTGACCTTGTATATGTAACCACTGTACCAAGGCTTTCAATCTGATAATTTACATCAGAGAATTAATATTGGTAAGGAATTGTATGAATAAAATCAATGTCATGAGGCCTTCAGGCATACAGGCCTTCTGTCTGTACATCAGTTAATAAATATGGGAGTAAAGCCTTATTCTTTAGTTTGGGAAAGTCTGCTTTAGAGATCTCCTTATTCTACACCAGAGAATTCATACTGATGAGGAGCCTTATAAAAGTAATGAATGTTAGAAGGCCTTCCAAGTGAGGATATCGCTACCCGATGTTATGAAATTCATGTAAGAGATATTCTGCTGAATATATTTAATGTGGGAAAGGCTTCAGTCTGGACACACAGCTACCCAACATCAGTGGTGTCACTTTGGAGAGAAACCTTATAAACATATTTAATGTGAAATTAGGGTGAAAAATAATTTAATGAATGTAACTGTGTAACTTTATAATTGACTGTGCTGAGGTGCTCTGTTCCTTGAGTTGACATATCATGAATGTCACAATGGAGAAAAACAGTATTTATGTCAGGAACAAGGAAAGACCTTTTTTCAAAATGCAGAACTTTCTTGTCTTCAGGAGTATTAATTGCAGAGAAACCTAATAAAGGTAAAAAACTGTGGACAGGCCATCTTCTTGAGTATATAGTGATCTAACGACAAAAAATTCATTCTAGATAGAAATTTTATGAATGTGGAAAGTCTTCCCTGTGATTGCACTGCTAACTTGCCATCCCAGAATTAATATGTGTTGACTATAAGAAAGATCTCTAGCAAATGTAAAAGGACCTTCTTCCAGAATGGAGAGCTTGCCTGAAATCAGTTCATTTATTCTGAATACTCTGTGACTGTAATGAATGTGGGAAGGCCTTCCTTGTGTGCCATCACAAAGCTTATGCAATGTCGAAAATCCATACTACAGAGAGATTATGAATGGAATTTGTAATAGGCATTCTACCATGGTAAAAACTGTATGCAACATCAAACAGTTCTTCCTTGAAAGAGAAATGTGATAAACTCATCCATTAGACATCTTAGTTTCTTTGTTTAAAATAGATAGATAGATAGATATACAATTTTTAGAAATTAAAAGGGTTGTTGCATTCATGCAGATGAAGAATTTGCTTTTTCTGGCCTGTAAAAACAGCTATGAGCTTTCAAAACATTTTCAACTACACATACATTAACTTGCACACTTGTACAGTTTTAGATATGTTTAGATGTTAATGTTTTACTAAGATATTTATTTCATTTCCCAATGAATAAGCATTTATTAAGCCCTGAGTATGTGCCAGATCCTGTGCTAAATTCTGTGGATGCAATTAGAAGGAGCAACATAGTTCCTGACCTCAAGGAACTTACATCATAATAGGACTAGACAACATATAGTGATTGCCCCAGACATGTTTTGGTCTGGGCAGTTAGAAATGGTGAATGAAGCCTTAAGATAATTGACTGACACATATCCTTTCTAGGAAAGTTAGTGTTAATTTCATTACAAAAATGGACTTGTTATGAAGATATACTGCAAAGGGATAGGGACAGTATGTGAAGAGCCTGCAGATGGGGAGAGTTGGAAGTTTGGAAGAGGTAAGAGCAGAGGTGATTGATACAATCTTCTGGAGAAAATGGGATGATGTCACATAAAGAAGTTGACCTTGTTGAGGAGAACAATAACCAGAATAGATAATGCTTTTTTGATCCAGAATTGAATATGCTGTAGGACATACAGTATTACACGTCTGGCAAACATAATACAGTATTCTATTCATATCAGCAGTTTTGTGGTAGCAAAAACCTGGAGGTAAAATGGTTTTCCGTTGTTTGAGAAATGGCTGAACAAAATAGTTTATGAATATAAGGGGTTGTTTTTGTTCTGAGAAACTGTGAATATGCTAATAACTACTATAAAGCTGTAATCATCAAAAACAGTCTGGTACTGGCTAAGAAATAGAGTGGTGGACAAAAACTCATTATTTGACAAAAATAGCTGGGAAAACTGGAAAGCAGGACAGCAGAAACTATAGCTAGACCAATGTTTTTTAAAATGTAGTTTCAGGGGGTGGAGCCAAGATGGCAGAGTAAAACAGTGACTTGCTTGAGCTCTCCCCCAACCCCTCCAAAAACCTGAAAAAATGGCTCTAAGCGAATTCCAGAGCAGCAGAACCCACAAAAAGATAGAATGAAACAAATTTCCAGTCCAAGACAACCTGGATGGGAAAGGTCTATTGTGACGGGCTGAGAGAAGAGTGCAGTTCAGCATGGGCCATGCAGGCCTCAGGGAACTCAATCAAGGGGAGCTGTAGCAGTTTCCAGACTTCTCAACTCACAAACACCAAAGACAACTTAGAAGGTCAGTAGGAAAGGTCTGTCGCACCTTAGTGAGAGAGGAGTGCAGTCCATTCCCCGGTCCTGGGGCAGCTGCTTCCAGAGCTCTCATCCCACAGACAGAGGTGGGATCAAGTGGCTGATCAGAGGGGATTGCAGGAGTCTCTCTGCTGGTGCAGGGTTCTCTTACTTTACCCGTGCATGGATCTGGGTCATGGTCCTGGGTGGCAGTCCTGGGGTGAGAAGGAACACTGGCACGGTGAAGCTTCTGGCTGTGGTGAAAAGGGAATCCTTCTCACAGTTCCAAGGCAGAAAAGAGTGCTTGTGGTCACTCATAGACCAGAGCACAGGCCAGAAAAGGAGTAAAACCTTGCCTTTGATCATACCACTTTAGAAGAACTGAAAAGTTACAGGTTCCTAGAATTATCTCTGAAAAGCTGCACAAACCCCTGAGGCTTGGGACAGTACATCTTCCACACTGGAAGCAGACCCCTACCTTAACAACGAGTTTAAAACTCAAGTAATTGGTTGGGAACATGAGCAAACAGCTAAAACAACAAACAAACAAAAAAGAAACCCCGTCCGTAGAATCTTACTTTGGTGACAAAGAAGATCAAAGCATAACAACCAGAAGAAGACAACAAAGTCAAAGCTCCTACATCCAAAGCCTCCAAGAAAAATAGGAATTGGTCCCAGGCCATGGAAGAGCTCAAAAACGATTTTGAGAAGCAAGTAAGAGAAGTAGAGGAAAAACTGGGAATAAAAATGAGAGTGATGCAAGAAAATCATGAAAAACAAGTCAACAACTTGCTAATGGAGACTCAAAAAAATACTGAAGCAAATAACAACTTAAAAAAATAGCCTGACCCAAATAGTGAAAGAGGTCCAAAAAGCCAATGAGGAGAAGAATGCCTTCAAAAGTAGAATTGGCCAAATGGAAAAGGAAGTCCAAAAGCTCACTGAAAAAAATACTTCCTTAAAAATTAGAATGGAGCAAATGGAAGCTAGTAACTTTATGAGAAATCAAGACATTATAAAAGAAAACCAAATGAATGAAAAAATAGAAGATGATATGAAATATCTCATTGGAAAAACAACTGACCTGGAAAATAGATCCAGGAGAGAGAATTTAAAAATTATTGGACTACCTGAAAGCCATGATCAAAAAAAGAGCCTAGACATCATCTTTCAAGAAATTATCAAGGAAAACTGCCTTGATATTCTAGAACCAGAGTGTAAAATAGAAATTGAAAGAATCTATCAATCACCTCCTCAAAGAGATCCTCAAAGGAAAACTCCTAGGAATATTATAGCCAAATTCCAGAGTTCCCAGGTCAAGGAGAAAATATTGCAAGCAGCCAGAAAGAAACAATTCAAGTATTGTGGAAACACAATTGGGATAACACAAGATTTAGCAACTTCTACATTAAGGAACCACAGGGCTTGGAATATGATATCCTGGAGGTCAAAGGAGCTAGGATTAAAACCAAGAATCACCTACCCAGCAAAACTGATAATCCTTCAGGGGAAAAAATGATCATTCAGTGAAATAGAGGACTTTCAAGCATTCTTAATGAAAAGACCAGAGCTGAATAGAAAATTTGACTTTTAAATACAAGACTGAAGAAAAGCATGAAAATGTAAGTAGTAAAGAGAGATGATAAGGGACTTATTAAAGTTGAACTGTTTACATTCCTACATGGAAAGATGATATTTGTAACTCATGAGACTTTTCTCGGTATTAGGGTAATTGGAGAGGAAAATATATATATATATATATATACATACATGCATGTGTGTGTGTGTATGTATACACATATGTGTATCTGTGTGGAGAGAGAGAGAGAGAGAGAGAGAGGGCACAGGGTGAGTTGAAGATGAAGGGATATCTAAAAAATAAAATTAAGGGGTGAGAGGATTATATGGGGAGAAGAAGAAAGGGAGAGGTAGAATGGGGTAAATTATCTCACTCTCATCGGATTTGGCTTAAGGAGGGAATAGCATACACACTCAGTTGGATATGGAAATATATCTTACCCTTCAGGAAAATAGGGGGAGGAGGGAATGATAGAAAGGAGGGCAGATTAGGGGAGGGGGAAATCAGAAGCAAACACTTGAGGAGAGACTGGGACAAAGGAGAGAATAGAATAAATGGGTGGGATAGGATGAAGGGAAATATAGTTAGTTTTTCACAACATGACTATTATGGCAGTGTTTTACATGACTACACATGTATAACCTGTATCAAGTTGCTTGCCTTCTCAGTGAGGTTGGGTGGGGAGGGAGGAAAGGAGAGAATTTGGAACCTAAAGTTTTAAAAACAAATGTTAAAAATTGTTTTTACATGCAATTGGGAAATAAGATATACAGGCAATGGGGTATAGAAATCTATCCTGCCCCACAGGAAAATAGGAAGGGAAGGGGATGAGGAAATAGAAGGGAGGACAGATTTGGGGAAGGAGTATTCAGAAGGCATGCCATCTTGGAGTGGGGGAGGGGAGAGATGGGGAGAAAATTTGGAACCCAAAATCTTGTGGAAGTGAATGTTGAAAACTAAAAATTAATTAATTAATTAAAAATAAATAAAAGAAAATTAGCATTAAAAAATATTTTGTGAACCTTAAAGTGATATAAAATGTGTTTTTTTTAATTAAAAAAGTGCAGATTTAGCTCATCAGTCCTTTTCTGTTTTGTTAATGTATGTTTATAAAGATGTGATTTCCCTCCCTGTGGTATGCTTGAGGTTCTGTAAAGGATGTATTAACTATTTATGCCTTTTTATATTTGTTTGCAATATCTCTCTACATTAATATATGGTCACTTTTTTATTATAGTTCCATGTGGCATTGAGAAATGTATATATTCTTTTGCTGTCCCATTTAGATGTCATCAGTCTTTTAAGTCTAGGTTCTCCAGCTTTGTTCAATTCCATATTTTTTATTTTATTTTTCTTTCTGTTAGACTTATCCAGAACTGAGAGAGGATTATTGAAGTCTCTCCTGTTATTATTGTGTTACTGTCTATATCTGCTTGTAGCTCAGATAATGCTTTCTTTATGAATGTGGATTCTAAGGCATTTGGAGTGTATGAGTTTTGTTGTTTTTTTTAAATTTTTTTTTGAATGTTTGTTTTTGCTTTATTACAGCATGATTGCAACAGCTGGGTTTTTTTGTTTTTGTTTTTTTTTCAGATTTGCTTAATGCATAGTAAAATTCCATCACCTCAGTATTATTTTGCTTATGTCTTTTTTTGTGTTTCTCGTATGCAGTGTACTGTTGGAATTTGTTTTGTTAGCTAATCTGTCACTTTTTTCATTTTATTGGGTTATTTAACCCAGGGGTGGAGAACCTGCGGCCTTAAAGCCATATTCGTTCCTCTGGGTCCTCAAGTGCAGCCCTTTGATTGAATCTAAACTTCACAGAATGAATCCCCTTCGTAATAGGATTTGTTCTATAAAACTTGGACTCAGTCAAAGGGTCACACTGATGACCCAGAAGGCCTACATGTGGCCTCAAGGCCACAGGATCCCTACTCCTGCAATCCATTCACATTTAAAGTTGTAAAGAATTAGGTTAATGTTTTCCTCTGTCTGAGTAATACTGGGGTTTTTTTCAAGTTAAATTTTTTTTCATCCTTCTGCTGGATCCTTTCCTCTCATTTGTTAAACCTTTCCCTTTGATGTTTTGTTTATAAGTTCTTTTT